GGGGGGGGGGGGGGGGGGGGGGGGCGGGGGGTTACTCTCATGTTTTGCATGCCTAGGCGGTAAGACCATCAAACAGGCGTCCTCGGGAGGACGGAGTGTGTGTGTCAGTGTGTCTGAACTCAATCCGTTGCTGGCTTTTGAACCAGAGGCATTTCCTTGCCCTAGCGTGATTGTTCCGCGCCTTCCTGCAAAAAAAAAAAAAAAATCAAAACCACACTTGTATGCTTGTAGAATACAACCAATCGGAGCTAAGCTCTCACCTCATCGCTACCACTGCTGTCACCATCGCCGGCTTTTTTCCGCTTCCCACCACCCCCTCCCCCCCTGTGCTTGCCGCGAGCTTTCTGCCGCTGATCTTTCGCCCGCTGCACGTTTTTCGTCCGCTGAGCCGGTGTCATCTTGGCGGCGTCGTTCTTTGGTAGCCAGGCTGCTCCCTCCGACCCGACCCAATCACGCGCCAGAGAGGGACGGGAAAGCAGGGGGGAAGAGACCGACGCGCAAGAAATGAAACGACAACAAATGATCGGAGCGGGGGGGGGGGGGGGTTTTTTTNAGGAAGTCCACACAGCAGTCGCTGCAGCAGCAGGATGCAGAGAACCGACACAGCCAGTACAGTGCTCTTACCAACTGCAAGTCTGGGGTAGAACTGTTACCATGCGCTCATCGCTCACGCGCCAGCCTTCGGTAATCCGTTAGATACGTTCGAGTACTCCTCGCAAAAACAACACGCAGCAGCACGCGGGAAAAACGGCCCGTCGCTCACCAGGACTAGCCAAAGCTTGCGCCGGCCGAACCGACCGCTTTCCCGCCGCCCCCCCGGCCACCCCACCCCCATTGCCATTCTGCGTTGTGGGGGTCGGTTTCTTGAACCAGGACACATCTTCCGACCCCGACGACGTGCCGCCACCATCGCTCATTTCTGCCCTAGCGGCAGCAGTATCGCGCCCTTCCTCCCCCCGATCAGGAGGAACAGCCCTCTCGGAGGTGGCGGCGGGGGGTTCGACCGGAAAATGAAGGCGTGATTTCGACTGCTTCGTCGTTACCTCGGGGGAGGTGAGGATTTCGTCGTCTTGTTCGTTGGCGTTGTCTTTGTTGCCGTGAGAGCGCTTGATCCGTCCGTGGACGGCGGGACCAGCGGAAGCCCTACCGGTGCAACTGGGACCGCTGCTGCTGCTGCTGCTCCTGCTGCTGCTGGTTGCCGTGGGCTTGTAGGCGAAGCGCGAGAAAATTCCCCCGTCCGCAGCGCCGCCGCTGGGAGGACTCCTAGGCATATGCGGTGCCCGGCTTCTGAGTGAGCCAGCCGCTTGTACTCACCCTGAATCCTGGACCTTCAACGCCTACTGCTACAACTCTGTTTCTTCTCTCTTATCACACGTGCGGTGACACCACACGGAAAGCGGTGCGTGCGTGCTTGCTTGAGCAGAGGTGGCCCCGAGACCGAAAAAAAGCAGACAATTAATTCGCGGGCGCGGCGTTCGGCCTTGTGGCCTGCAGCACTCTAGAAAAGAGTCGCACGGTCAGGGGGGCGACCAGAAAAGCCACGCGCGAGTAGATACCAACCAACCCAACGGCAGCGGGGCGCGGAGAGATGCCCACATATGCCCGAAACGGCAGTGAGCAAAGCGAGGACGAGGGGGAAGCCGGGGGGGGGGG